TGCATAAAGCACGCATCAGCAATAAGGTGTGTACTGAATTTGATCTTTTAATATCACCGTTTTAAAGGCACTTTTAAGTGTTTTTACATTAAACGTTTTAAAATGTCCCGCTGTTTTTAGTGATTGAAATATTGCGGTGGGTGATTTATATGGACTGCTAATGGCCAGTATTTGCATTTTGTTCACATATCTTTGTTTTATTCTTTTGATCTAAATATTTTTTGGATTGGAACAGATAGAAAATCGACAGGCTTGTGCTTCAGTTCTATGGATGTTTTGCCCGCCAGGTCTTCGAGCCGGTCACGTGACTGAAAACGATCAATTACTGCCTTGTGAAGTGAAAATCTGTGCGTTTGGAAGAAACAAATCAATCAAGGCATTTTAACTTTAAACCTTAGCTTCTGGTCGAAATATGAGTCCATAATTCACAATAATGCCTCCTCCAGTGAAAAATTCCATCCCCTTGTTGTCCTCTCACATCAAAATCCACCATTTCGAACTGGTTTAAGCTGTTTTCTTGATCTGTGCATATTTCTCTCATGATTCAAATTGAAATTTTTCCCTGGAGAAAGCATCATTATGGATAGAGGACTCATATTTTACTTACTCATATTTTACATCTTTTCACTTTACAAGATATTAAGTGATGGACTGAAGTGGTTTCAATTACTAGAGGATTATTGTGATGATTTTATCAGCTGGTTGGACTGTCAATCTGACAGCACCCATTCACTGCAGAGGAGATTTGTGATGAAGAAACAAACCCATCTACACCTTAAATGATACATTAATGGGACTAATGAACACAGTGTTTACCTTGACTCCAACCTTCCCATCATTTAGTGGTACCAGGTCATATGGTAAACTAGCCTTCTCTGCTTGCACAGAATGATCCTGAAACAATCTGCCATGTAGTCTCTTAAAATGAGAGACTGTGCTTGCAGTATTGGTTATCATCCAGAACAGGTAAAAACATATGAATGGTAATATAACACCTAACTAAGCACACTTTTGCTTCATTCATAATCATCACAGATGAGAACAGGAAAGCCTACCTGTCTTTTTGCAGCATTACCAATGGTCCTGTTCTTTGCATTAAATGATAAAAGCTCTAAAAGAAAGTGTTCAGGCATATTAAGCTTTTGAGGGATTCAAATGACAGATTTTAGCTCACATGAACATGTTTCAGATGTTTTGGAATTACATTGACAAGTGTATGAAAAGAGGAAACATGCAACTAGACTTTAATGATACTTATACTTGACTTTCAGTTTAGGTGGATATTCACACGTAGAGTATCAATATTCATCTGATACACTGAAGATACATGAAATGAAGGCTTTATCTCATTATACAATTAGCAAACACAGCATCCACTTACGGCGTGCATCTGTCTGTAAATTCATTGGACACGGTCTCGATTCCTCCTCTTTTGACCACAGCAATACAGCAATTCTGAAATGAAATCCCACATCAAAGCCCACGACAGCCATCCTGGACTCTCCTCCGGACGCCGAGCGGTGCGTTCATGTCAGAAAAACAAATAAACAAACCCGCCTGTCCGTGTCTGTCCGGTCACTGTCGGTAATCGAGAGCGCGCACACAATTTTAGTAGGCTACTCGCGACCCATTGATATCGCTTTTCAGCGAATTTTTATGAAGGTAGAATGACGTCAAAAAGATTTGCATGTGCAGGGTAAGAGTTGTGGAAGCGTACATAAGACCGTAAGCGTAAATTAAATTTGCATGCGCAAGAGAAGCTTTGTAAAGGTGTAAATCGTGTTTCAAGCGCAAGAAAAAAATATTTGCAGCATTTTACTGTTACTCTTAACGCCACTGGAATGATAAATGACACTGTCAAGATTGCTTCGGATGTGGCAAAGTCACTGTTGTTGTGAGTTTTATTAATTAAAAAGATACCTGCAGTGCTGTCATTCATTAGCTTCAGGCAGTTCAAGCCGGCAATCTTGGCAGCATCCAGCACAGACTTCCTTTCTGAATCAGTGAAGAATGAGGGGATTTATGCGTGACAAAATCATTTGTATGGCCAAAGAAATGACACAAACAAACCATCGGATTGGTGTCTTCCACATTTGTGGTTTACGTGCAAATTAAAACAGGCCTGGTTAAAATGTACTGCTGTATGATGATGAAGCAAGGTCTTTTGTCTAAAATATAATCATGACAAGACTAAAAATTACTATAATACATTATCATCAATATAAATAATTTTGGGGGAATTTCTAATGAGCTAAAAGCCTCTATTTCTTGTACATGCCTCTGGTATCCATTAAATATCATGAAAATAAATGATTTCTTGTAATATTCACAGCTCTAGTGCAAAAACGTACAGCGATGACACACTTCACCACTTTCTTCTGCAGATTAGCTTCTGCAATGTCTTTCAATTTGGTCAACAACATAGCTGTGACCTGCTCGATGCTGAAATGGTGCTCCTGGTCGAGGTACATGACCTAATCAAGACACTGAAAGTCAAAATGTTATTCTGTCTTCCAAAAATAACCACATGACACATATGTCCCAAATACTTATAAGGATAGTTCACTCAAAAATGAAAATTTGCTGAATGTGCTGAAAATGTATTCACCCTCAGGCCATTCAATGTGTAGATGAGTTTATTTCTTCATCAGAACAGATATGGAGAAATTTACATCATTTCCCTCCAATGGATCCTCTGCAGGAAATATGTGTCGTCAGAATGAGAGTCCACACAGCTGATAAAAACATTACAGTAATCCACACGACTCCAGTCCATCAATTGATAGTTTTCACGTGATGCCACACCCTTACAGGAATGCCCACATGGAGGGCGAAACAAGGCTTTCCTCCACTGACCGCCAGTTATTTTTACGAGGTTTGCATTAAGTAGTAATGTAGTAAGACAGACAGTGATATTTAAAGGCCAAATTCAGTATACTGTACACCTTATTCAGGATGCATACTTTGTACAGGCAAGCAGATGAACCCAGAATATAAACACAATGCGCAAAGTTTAATATTAAATGTTTTCCCATAGAAAACAATTATAAATAAGACGCTTAACCATTTAGCGCATTGTGTTCATATTCTGGGCTCATTTGCTTGCCTGGACTCCAGTCCATCAATTGATAGTTTTCACGTGATGCCACACCCTTACAGGAATGCCCACATGGAGGGCGAAACAAGGCTTTCCTCCACTGACCGCCAGTTATTTTTACGAGGTTTGCATTAAGTAGTAATGTAGTAAGACAGACAGTGATATTTAAAGGCCAAATTCAGTATACTGTACACCTTATTCAGGATGCATACTTTGTACAGGCAAGCAGATGAACCCAGAATATAAACACAATGCGCAAAGTTTAATATTAAATGTTTTCCCATAGAAAACAATTATAAATAAGACGCTTAACCATTTAGCGCATTGTGTTCATATTCTGGACTCATTTGCTTGCTTGGATAAAGCACGCATCAGCAATAAGGTGTGTACTGAATTTGATCTTTTAATATCACCGTTTTAAAGGCACTTTTAAGTGTTTTTACATTAAACGTTTTAAAATGTCCCGCTGTTTTTAGTGATTGAAATATTGCGGTGGGTGATTTATATGGACTGCTAATGGCCAGTATTTGCATTTTGTTCACATATCTTTGTTTTATTCTTTTGATCTAAATATTTTTTGGATTGGAACAGATAGAAAATCGACAGGCTTGTGCTTCAGTTCTATGGATGTTTTGCCCGCCAGGTCTTCGAGCCGGTCACGTGACTGAAAACGATCAATTACTGCCTTGTGAAGTGAAAATCTGTGCGTTTGGAAGAAACAAATCAATCAAGGCATTTTAACTTTAAACCTTAGCTTCTGGTCGAAATATGAGTCCATAATTCACAATAATGCCTCCTCCAGTGAAAAATTCCATCCCCTTGTTGTCCTCTCACATCAAAATCCACCATTTCGAACTGGTTTAAGCTGTTTTCTTGATCTGTGCATATTTCTCTCATGATTCAAATTGAAATTTTTCCCTGGAGAAAGCATCATTATGGATAGAGGACTCATATTTTACTTACTCATATTTTACATCTTTTCACTTTACAAGATATTAAGTGATGGACTGAAGTGGTTTCAATTACTAGAGGATTATTGTGATGATTTTATCAGCTGTTTGGACTGTCAATCTGACAGCACCCATTCACTGCAGAGGAGATTTGTGATGAAGAAACAAATATTTATTTTGCGTTAGCATGAAGCTGCTGTTTCACAATACATGAATTACACTTACGAGTAACAGTAAAATGCTGCAAATATTTTTTTCTTGCGCTTGAAACACGATTTACACCTTTACAAAGCTTCTCTTGCGCATGCAAATTTTATTTACGCTTACGGTCTTATGTACACTTCCACAACTCTTACCCTGCACATGCAAATCTTTTTGACGTCATTCTACCTTCATAATTTTCCAGAAACTTCCAACCGCAGCAGAGGCGGCCCTGCTCGGTCCAGCCCGCGCAGTGTGATTGCGACGCTTTCGGCGCAGTTTACTCAGAGCGCGGAGCGTCGGATGGGTTGCTGTGGTAACCGTACGAGATTACGCTATAAGGATTAAAAGCACAAATATATGATCTCCAGTCCTTATTTTAATGGCGTCGAGAGATGTATTATTTGTTCGGCGAGACAAATGTTTACTTTTTTTAAATTCTACATATTTTCAAATTGACCAGTTCAATATCTTACGTTGAACAAATCTGATTTCTAGTCATTTTATCATTATCTAGACAGATTTATTAGTGATAGTGGTTTGGTCATACAAATGTTTACTTTTTAAAATTCTACATCACATTTGTTTTCAAATCGATTAGTTTAATATTTCAGTGTCAGTTCTCACAAATCTAACAACAGAATCGTTACGTTTGACGAGGAGTTTAATGTGGTTCGGAGGGTCAAATGTTTACTTTTTTAAATTCTATATTATAACATTGTTTTTACATGGACAAGTTCAATATTTCAGTGTCAGTTCGCATATTTCACGCGAAGAAAAGACTTCATAAATGTAGGCTAATTAGGGTGATAGTCGCGACAGTTTGTAGTATTATAACTTAATATAAAGATTATATAACAATATACACCTTTACAAAGCTTCTCTTGCGCATGCAAATTTAATTTACGCTTACGGTCTTATGTACACTTCCACAACTCTTACCCTGCACATGCAAATCTTTTTTTGATATCGCTTTTCAGCGAATTTTCCAGAAACTTCCAACCGCAGCAGAGGCGGCCCTGCTCGGTCCAGCCCGCACAGTGCGATTGCGACGAGTTGACAGTTCCAGAGCTTTCGGCGCAGTTTACTCAGAGCTCGGAGCGTCGGATGGGTTGCTGTGGTAACCGTACGAGATTACGCTATAAGGATTAAAAGCACACATATATGATCTCCAGTCCTTATTTTAATGGCGTCGAGAGATGTATTATTTGTTCGGCGAGACAAATGTTTACTTTTTTTAAATTCTACATATTTTCAAATTGACCAGTTCAATATCTTACGTTGAACAAATCTGATTTCTAGTCATTTTATCATTATCTAGACAGATTTATTAGTGATAGTGGTTTGGTCATACAAATGTTTACTTTTTAAAATTCTACATCACATTTGTTTTCAAATCGATTAGTTTAATATTTCAGTGTCAGTTCTCACAAATCTAACAACAGAATCGTTACGTTTGACGAGGAGTTTAATGTGGTTCGGAGGGTCAAATGTTTACTTTTTTAAATTCTATATTATAACATTGTTTTTACATGGACAAGTTCAATATTTCAGTGTCAGTTCGCATATTTCACGCGAAGAAAAGACTTCATAAATGTAGGCTAATTAGGGTGATAGTCGCGACAGTTTGTAGTATTATAACTTAATATAAAGATTATATAACAATATACCATTCAGTATTTCGGTAAAATTGCGTTTTTTATGTAATTTATTGGGTTTGTGATCGAAAGTGGGATTCAGGTTAACATTTTAAAGAGTTTATTTCATGACTGAAGCTGATCGTTTACGCGTCCTGTCATCTTTTGCCATATTTCATTTAAAGTGAATGAAGCTGTTCTGCCGTTATGTCTGACAGAATTATCATATTTTGTGAACTATCCCTTTAAAAAACATTTTAATCACGCTTGTTATGTTGGTGCCAAGCACTGCCCCTTTTGTAGTAGTTAGCGGTGTGGCCACTAGAGGGACACACTGAGACGCGCGTTCAACAGGAAATGTCCTCGCAAAACAAAGCTGGGCAATGATCGGCACACACAGCAGTGAGTGTTGGATACAGGATCAGTGCAAACCCTCTGCTACAGCACATTTACAGCGAGCTGGCAGCGTGCGCTACCCGCGCTTCTTCTACCATGCTTTCCAAAAACTCTCAAAAGGGATACAGTGTTGCCCGATTTTTCTTGCTTTGGTCGCTTGGTAAGCATGTCTCTACTCATTTACCAAAAGGAAGTTTTTCAGCTTAGGTTAATTTCTGTTACTGTTTGTTTGATTGAGAAAAGCAGCGTTCTAAAAAGGTTTTTATTTTTATTTTTATCTTTTACAGATGGAAAAGCACATGCTGAAAATAAACTGTTACTAGTGACAAGGGTATTAT